CCAGACTTTAGTGCTTGCAGAGAGAAAGAGGAGGGGTGAAATGAAGGGAGGTGAGGAACAGGATGATCTAGTATTTAGATACTGGAGATCCCATGGATGAATTCTACAAGAAATTTGGGTGAGATGCTAAGGGACAAGCCCAGATGTGTGAAGTGATACTTAGAGATTAATATGCATGAACCTGTAAGAGATTATTACATTTCCAAAAGGAAAAATTGTTAATCACTGTTATCTCAATTATTTCCCCGAAGATATGTATGCAAAGTACTTGGAATTTTCCTTTCAATATTATAAAATGGAAATACACAAGGCGATTAAATGGATTGCTGAAAGTCAGACACTCAGCATGTGAACTGGGACTAGAACTGAGGTCTCCTGACACTCACTTCTGGGTTGGTTTCTAGAACCCACTGTAGGGATTGCACAGTGGAGACATGGTAGTCTGAGTGAATTGCTCTAGCCTTACGTATGTGGAAAAGGCATAAAAAGGTGCGCATTTAGAAAGTGAAGTCCTAGTGAAATATATCAAATTGCTGATTATGTGAAAAGGCAGGCAAGCAAATCCAGACAAGAAATAGAGAACTTGGTGCTTTCTGAGGATATAAAACTGCTTTTAGGAAATCACCCACTCAAGTGGTCCTTGGTTTTCTTTCCCAAGCATTAGGGTGATGCAGATATTTCTGGCCACGATGGAGGCATTTGGCGCACACAACATCCATGTATTCAGCCAGAGGTCAGATGACTCTTTCTTTAGTTGAAAGTTCCATTTTTATTGCCAACTCAACTCTGTAAAGTATGGTTCTTGTTTATTTGACCAGTGTAAGAGAAAACATCTTTAGTTTGTGAGAGTTACCTTTTGTGCTCTGAATCTGTGTTCAGGCCTTCTGTGTGTCTCTGCTAAGATTGTAGAGGAGTCCAGTGAGAAGAGCAAATATAATTAAGACTCAGTGGAGTATTTTAAAAGATGATACACAAACAGACTTTCAGTTATAGGGCTTCATCTCTCTAATGAATGGAAGATAAGATGGGCAATGATCCCAGGTGGGACTTTTGAGGCCAGTCCAAATTTTGTCCATCCATGCACCCTTTGAATCAGCATAAGCAGGGGAAAGGATTATTATTCTAAAATACAACAGAACTCTGGAAGCTGAGGTGCTGGGGAATCTTTCTATAACATGTACACCTCCTGAGTCTTTTCAAATTAATACTTCTTTCTTTCTAATATAGGAGGAATGGGAGAAGATAATTTATTGCAGCAGCTAGCCAATAGAAGTAGACATGTTTTGGTCTTAAAATATAAGACACTAACTAGGGTAGGAAAATGAAACATGGCAGTGAATGTTACAAATGAAGAACGTGCCCATGTGTTGAGCCCTGAACACCTCCTTCCTTGCAAAGTTGAATTGAATATTTTGGAGTGTTGTTCCACAGAGTGGCAATGGAAAGTAAATGTAATTAAAAACTGATTGAACATGTGAACATCAGGCTTTGAAGGTGTCTCCAGAGAACCACAAGTGATGAGCCTGTCTGTGTGGCACCAACACGTGGGAAGTTCTGTCACTGTTCATTTTATTTTTGTCTGTAGGTCAGGGTTTCCATCTGTCTAGATGAGCAGTAGCTCATTGTTCTTCAAGGCCTTATCAATAGTGTTGGAGCAGGAGTGTGGGGAGGATGTGGGGAAGGCCAACAGGGCACCTTATGTTGAGAAGCTGTATTGTCACTTGGGGGTATTGATGCCCTTTCCTGTCAGATGAACTGTAGAGCTACAGGGAGCCAGGCATGGAAGGGGCCCCTTTCAGGAGATCAACTGCCAAATGCAATGGACCAGTTGGGACATGGTCCCATTTCTATAACCCCAAAATACTAGGTATTTACAAATTTTACCAAAAATCACCACCTGAGAATTCACTGTTAGAAATATATTTAAGTTGACTTAAGCAAAGAGCAAGTGTTATTTCTGAAGAGATTTGCTTCAGGTGCCAGGAAGCAAAAGAGATTGGATGCAAAGCAGAAACTCTTCAGCTCTGAAGCTCAGACTTGTACTAAGACGAGACAGTGCCACTCCCTGGGAGTGAGGTGAAGGCTGTCATGGAGGGATGTGCAGGGCGGGTAAGAGGGACACTGGGTGTCATCAGCTGTCATGTTCTGCAGGCAAGTCACACATGTAACAGGGGAACAAAAGATATAATGCTTTGTTTTGTGTCCTTCCTTCTTTGGATGGGTCAGGTCTTTGAGCACAGGGAAGTATAATATTCACCATGAAATAGGAGCATCTACAAAAGATTGCACTTGATAGACATTTGCCAAATTAAGAGAAGAATAGAAGATAATGTTGAAAGTAAAGTATAATTGAAAAATCAAAAATAACTTACTTCAAAATTAAAAGAAAAGCAATGTCTACTTTCTGATGCAGATCTGATGTGTGTGTGTTTTTGACAACATCTATCAGATTTTTAAAAATAAATATTCTTTTGAGGTGTTAGAGTTAAATTTGAGTGTGTTCTTTGTGTTAAGTGGATGCTTTGTCATTCTGCCCAGGACTGAAGAAAAGCTGAGGGAGGGGGAGGGGTAAGGATCCTGCATAGAGCCATACAGGAGGGACTGTTGAAAGGGGAAATCAGGTTTGGGGGAGGAAATTGGGGTGGACGTTTGAAAAAAATGTGTGTGTGAATCATGGGAGAAGAAATGGTGATTTCTTGAACTTCTTTTTATGTGTGTGTGTGTGTGTGTGTGTGTGTGTGTGTGTGTGTGTGTGGTTTTGTCCTTTGTGAGATAAAAGTTTTGAAGTGCAGACAATCTCCTTTCTGCTGAGAGACCCCAGCTTGGGTCTGGAACGGCGCAAACAGCTTGGCTTCTGCTCTCCAGTCATCTTGCTGCTATTTTCTCCTCCTTCCCCTCATTTTGTACCCTGCAAGGAAAGGAATGTTCCTGATAGGTAGGCTTAGACAAACCTAGAATATTAAAAAATGTGAACAGTTTCTGTTTAATGTTCCAAATTGATATGGTAGAGTTTTATTAGAAAAGGACTTCCAGGTCACAGTAAAATGAGCAAAGCTTCATTCCCACTTCTGTTGCAGGAATTCATGCATTTGCCTCTGCTACAGGCAAGGAAGAGCAGTCCTCAAAGACCTGCTTCCTTTCCTCTTTTGTAAAGGGAAGGTCAGGTGCTCATACTCTCACTGAGCCTGTATCTATACATATTTTGAGCCTGTATAGAAAGGGCAGATTCCTAACAGTCACCAGCCAAGAAAAGAAAAGAAAAGTAAAAGGACAACATTCGATTATAATCCCCTACCAAGTTTTATGCCACTGCATTGGAAGAAATGAAAGTTTATCATCAAAAAGACAATGGTTCCCTTTTATTATTTGTTCAAATAAGGTTTCCACTCATGACTGTTCCTCTTCCCCTTCTGGTACTCCTGTAATTCGGATGTTGGAGTGCTTAAAGATGTCCTGGAGGTTCCTAAGCCTCTCCTCATTTTTTTGAATTCTTGTTTCTTCATATTTTTCTGTTTGGTCATTTTTTCCCCTCCTTCTGGTCTGCTCCCTTGATTTGAGTCCCAGTTTCCTTTCCATTACTATTGGTTTCCTGTGCATTTCCATTCATTTCAATTAGTTTAGCCTTCATATGTTCCTTTAATTTGTGGCTAAAATCAACCAGTTCTGTGAGCATCCTAATGACCAGTGTTTTGAACTGTGCATCTGAAAGTTTGGCTATTTCTTCATCGCTTAGATTCGGCTCTGGGGCTCTGAGTTGTTCTTGAGCCATGTTTTGATCTGTTTGTGCCTGTTACATGTGAGGAGAGGTGCTTTAGGTGTTCAGGACTTACCTAAGAAAAAGAAGTAAAAAATATGAACAGTGAAAGGACAGCAAACTCACAGTTATTAACAACCACACCTAAAACAAAAGCAAATTAAGAGGACAGCTAGATCAGGAGTGAAACATAGAAATGAAGATCACGTGGAGGGTTAGCAACAGGGGAGTGGGAGAAGGAGATGGGGGGAGAAGGTACAGAAAATAAGTAGCATGGACAGTACACAGAAAATAGATAGGGGGAAGGTAAGAATAGTAGGGGAAATATAGAATCTAAAGAACTTGAGACATGTGTTCATGAACTTAAAGGGGGGAATGGTGGGGAAGGGGGTGCAGGGTGGTGGGGAATGAAGAGGAGAAATAGAACAAATGTAATGGCATAATCAATAAAAATAAAAAATATATTTAAAAAAAAGACAATGGTTCCTCATCCCAAAGTGACCCAACTTTCCTAAGTTTTCAGTTCCATTAAAGACTTTTTAGGTCTGAATTGGTGGAGGGATTGCATGGGGAAATCACTTTTGCTACCCTATCAACCCTGAGACAGAGGTCATGTTTCAACTAATACTCATTCTGCTGTGGTCCTGCTACCGGTATAGTTCACAATATACTTTCTCCAACCTTACATACATTGGAACTTAAATATACTTGCAAGTTGTAAAATATTATCCTGTTTCATATATACAAGTTTGTCACTGAGCTAGAATCAGTTGGCAGCTCAAGAAAATTAGGTTTCAAACTAAACTGTCTGATTGCAGACCTTTTCACAAACCCAGCCTCTTCTCAATCTTTCCTTTTGTAATGGATTTCTCCATTTAAGGCAGCTTTTATTCCTTTCCAATATGGCTTTTCTTCATTGTTTATCATTTTACCTACCATTGTCCTGTACTAAGCTCTCCACACCTGAAACCTGATGTAAGTTGGTAAAGATGTTGAGCTCCTGAAGCTGCACCACATGGTCTCCAGGCTGAGCTGATCTCCCAGAGGCCACACCATGGTGCTGGCCTGTCTCTGATGCACACTGGGGTAGAGCCTGTGGTGATGGTCCACAGTGATCTGAAACACCTGGCTGAGGCTGACCAGTTACATACAGTAGGTATTCATAGAAAGTTGTTCTTACTGTTCTCTGATTCAGCAGCTTCTGTCCTTTCTGGCTCTCTGCAGATTCACAATCCTGACATTGTTAATGGGAACAGACAACCAGACGTGGGTAAGAGAGTTTATTCTCCTCGGCCTGTCCAGAGACTGGGACACTCAGGTGTCTCTCTTTGTCCTGTTCGTGGTCATGTACCTGGTGACAGTGCTGGGGAACTTCCTCATTGTTCTTCTGATCAGACTGGACAGCCGACTCCACACTCCCATGTACTTCTTTCTCACCAACCTCTCCCTGGTTGACGTCTCTTATGCCACAAGCATCGTCCCTCAGATGTTGGTTCATTTTCTTACTGAACAGAAAGTGATTCCCTATGTGAGCTGTGCGGCACAGTTATTCTTCTCCCTGGGATTGGGTGGTGTTGAATTTGTTCTACTGGTGGTGATGGCCTATGACCGCTATGTGGCTGTGTGTGACCCCCTGAGGTATTCAGTCATCATGCATGGAGGGCTCTGTACTAGGCTGGCCATCAGCTCCTGGGTCAGTGGCTCTGTTAACTCTGTCATGCTGACTGCTATCACCTTTCAGCTGCCCATGTGCTCAAATAAGTTTATTGATCACATATCCTGTGAACTCCTAGCTGTGGTCAGACTGGCCTGTGTGGACACCTCCTCCAGTGAGATCGCAATCATGGTTTCTGCCATTGTCCTGCTGGTGTCCCCATTCTGCCTGGTTCTCTTGTCCTACATCAAGATCATCACCACCATCCTACAGATCAGGTCCACAGAGGGCAGAAAGAAAGCCTTCCAAACCTGTGCCTCTCACCTCTCAGTGGTGGTCCTGTGCTATGGCATGGCCATTGTCACTTACATCCAGCCCCACTCCAGTCCCTCTGTCCTTCAGGAGAAGTTGATCTCTCTCTTTTATGCCATTTTGACACCCATGCTGAACCCCATGATTTACAGTCTAAGGAATAAGGAGGTGAAGGGGGCCTGGCAGAAACTCTTAGGACAATTATCTGGATTAAAGTCGAAGCTGGCAACTTGATGACTCATGAACATCAGTTAGAGCAATGGACTTTAACTGTGTGTTCTCTCACTGAACTCAGACATGACAGTCACCGACTGCATCACCATGGCAACCAGGAAGAAGATGATGTAAAGTGTACTGATGATGTGGGTATGAGGATGAGTGGTTGGCTTGGGGTATTGAATGTAGAAATATTTTAATGTCCCAACAGCATGTTCAGTGGAGTTAAGCTCTGCTGCCATAGAACTTTACAATCAGTTGGTCTCCTTTCCTGACAATAATTGAAAAACCTATCACCATTTGCTGTTTTGATTTGTCATGTTGTTTGGAATCATGGTCCTATCTTGGATCTTCGTTTAGACCAACGGTGCTTGTTTCCCCACATTTTGTCTGAGGTTATCGTGCTTCCATTGGAAGCAAAACACTTCACATTTTGACTCATTGGAAAATTTGGGTGGTATATGTAAGCACATCCTCAATTGAGTCACTCTTCTGAGGAGGGCATTGCTATCAACGCTGAGTAAATGTTCTGTGCTGGAACTACGTGATGTGGACATAATGTGTGTCTGAGTGTGGGTGGCAACACAAGAGAAGCTTCACAGAAGGTCTTGTTTTACACTGACAAGAAGCTAAGTAAAAGTTGTTAGTACATGTGTCTGTGACTGGGCAAGGGAAAGGTGTTTCACTCACTGCTGGAGTATTCAAAGTGTTTGAAAGTAATTTTTCTGCATATATAAGTGTACCATTGAAACATTTCTAAGCTGTCCAACTCTGAAATGTCTGTTGATTCTTTTTTCTACACTTTAGAAACAAAATAGTACATAAAATGTGTGATAATGCATACATATAAAATTAATTATCTAAGAAAGGAAAGATTCCAGAGGCAAGGCAATGAAGATAAGACAAGCTGCACATGGGCTGCGGATCAGGATGGTTCCATCACCTCTACACACAGCACCCTGTTGTCTGTCCAGGAAACCCTCCCTCAGCCTCCCCCACTCTCCTCCATACACAGCAGTGGGCCTACTACATCTCGTGCATCTCTGAGCTGGAACAGTCAGAGAGTGAGTGCCCCTCTGAGAGAAAGCCTGAGTTTAATAAGGTAAAGGAGGGGGAAGGAATAACTGCACAAGGGAAAGGAAGGAGAAGGAGAAGAAAGACTGTGCTGGGTCATCTACTCTCTCCCTTGAAGAAGTTTCAAGGCCCTTTCTTCTTATCATCTTCTTCTTGGAACTGGTTGGTGTGCAGCTCTTCCATTTGGGGCAGACTCTCAGTGTGCAATCAGTGTTGAAGTTTCATATAAACCAGAGCCCATTTGACACTGTAATTTTATCTAAAGGTAATCCATCTGGAGCTTTCCAATCTAGGCAGACATCCCAATAAATGTCAATGCTAGTGGGCTGTATTTCTGTTGATGTTAATTGAGAAATATTAGTGGACTGTCTACTGTATATTAGTAACATCAAGTGGTTCTGGAGACACAGGATGATACAATTTTGACAAAGATATGGTCCCATAGCAGGATGACAATGAAGCAGTTAAAATTTGGGGTTGTGTTACAGAGAGAGTGAGGCTTTGGGGGTGATTGCAGAAGACTTCCTGTATGAAAGGACCAGAAGAGGTCCAGGTGGAGACCAGGAAGGAAAGTGAGAACAAGTGATCCAGTTCACCTGAGCAAAGGCTGACCTGTGAAAGGTGCTGATCTGGGAGAGTGTGTGCAAGTTCAGTAATGCCCTGAAATTGCTCTTGCTGGGCAGAGGAGATGGAGGAAATAATGGGGATGAAGCTGGTGGCAGACAGGGGCCATGCCTTGGAGATCATTGAATGAATTCCAGATTATTTTGAAGTCGATCCTGACAGCACTGGAAGCCAATAAATACTTTTTGGCCAGAGTATTCCTTGACAAAATTTGCATCTTTGAATCACTCTGGCACATAATCAGAGGGAGGAAAATGGAGCCAAGGGGACCAGGTAGGAGGTTGCAGCACAGTTACTGAGATGCAGAGGAAGCTGGCCTGAACAAGTGGCAGTGGGGAAAGAGAAGTCATGTCATGTGATTTAAGAGACGCAATAGAGGGACCCTGGCCGGGCAGCTCAGTTGGTTAGAGCAAAACCCCAATACACCAAAGTTGCAGGTTTGATCCCTGGTCAGGGCACATACAAGAATTAACCAATGGATGCATAAGTAAGTGGGACAACAAATTGATGTTTCTCTTTCTCTGTCTTTCCGTTCTCATCTCTCTCTAAAGTCAATTTTTTTAAAGTTTTAAAAAAGGCATACTAGAGGAACACTTTACCTTCTCCCAGTTTAGAATCCCCATGTGGGTTTATTTGTCCCTAAAAGGTCATGGTTCTGTCTGAGTATTCCATAACTTGTAAACTGAAAAACTTACCACCGTAAACACACCCTGTATAAAATGGTAGCAGGGAGAGATGAAAATTAGGTAAAAATATAAAGACACACCTAATGCTTTTAGGAGGAGAATGTGTGAAAGAATCTGCATTCTCATTTCTGTGACTGGTATGTGGCCACAGTGTGATGTTTCTCTACCACCCGGCAACGTATTGGGTTGGCCAAAAAAATTCATTGGATTTTACAGTAAAACAAAAAGATACAGGTTCATATTCACTAATTACTTTATTAAGCAATATATTCACTGTTTTATTCCACTTCCTTTTGCCATCTTTCAGGCAACTTCATAATTTCATCTTTCCAAAACTTTTTATTTTTTTGAGCAAAGAACTGTTCCAGGTGCCTCTTACAGTGTTCCATGGAATTAAAGTTGTTTCTATTAAGAGAATGTTGTAAAGACCAAAATAAATGGAAGTGTGAAGGTGCAATGCCTGGAGAATATGGCAGATGAATAAGAACTTCCCAGCCATGCAGTAACAGATTTTGCATGTTCATCAAAGAAACATATGGTCTTGCATTATCTTGATGGAAGATTATGCATTTTTGTTGACTGATTTTGGATGCCTTTCTTCACATGCTGCATTCGGTTGATCTAATTTGGACCTTATTGCAATTAATCATTTTGTGTTTTTGGAAGTAGCTCATAATAGAGGACTCCCTTCCAATCCTACCATATATATAACATCACCTTTTTTAGATGAAGATCATCAATTAGTGAGGTTGGTGGTGTTCCATTTTGCTTGCCCCATGATCTCTTATGTTTCACATTATTGTCAAGTATCCACTTCTCATCACCCATCATCACCCATCATAATTTATTTTAAAAAACAGATTTTTTTCATTTTAAGTAGAGAATTGCATGTGAAAATACATTGAAGAAGGTGGTTTGGTTTTCTTTTTTTTCTTTTCTTTTTTTGCTTTACTTATGTGGAGTTCAAACATCAAAGATGTTAATATAACCAAGCTGTTGCAAATGTTTTTCAACACTTGATTTAGATATTTGAGTATGTGACTTTTTCCTGTGTGGGATAACATTGATTATTCTCAATTAATGTCTCAATGTGATCTTTATCAACTTCAACTGGTCTACCCAACTGTGGAGCATCATCCAATGAGAAATCTCCAGCATAAATTTCACAAACTGCTTTTGACACATTAAATCAATTGGATTTAATTCTCTAAATTCACCTTCTCTATTCACTGTACAAATCTTTTTTGGGTGGATTTCAGTTGCATTTTTACATTTTGAAATAATAAAGCATAATATGCCAAATGTCTTGAGTATTTTCTTCCATCTTCAATATTACAATGGCTACACAAAAATTCACCAATTTTGATATTAGGCTTTTATTAGGTTTAAAGATTTTTAATGTTTTTTCAAGTATATTTTATTGATTATGTTATTATAGTTGTCTGAATTTTTCCTCCCCTTTAACCCCCTCTGCCCTGCACCCAACCATTCTCCTGCATTTCTTCCTCCACTAGTACATGTCCATGGGTTGTAGAAATAAGTTCTTTGGCTTCTCTATTTCCTATACTATTCTTAACTTCACCCTGTCTACTTCCTACCTACCATTTATGCTACTTATTCCTTGTACCTTTTGCCCCTCTCTTTCCCTCCCTCTCCCCCACTGGTAACCCTCCATGTGATCTCCATTTCTGTGATTCTGTTCCTTTTCTAGTTGTTTGCTTAGTTCATTTTTGGTTTTGATTTTTTAGGTTCAGTTGTTAATAGTTGTGAATTTGCTGTCATTTTACTGTTCATATTTTTTATCTTCTTTCTCTTAGATAAGTTCTTTTAATGTTTCATATAATAAGGGCTTGGGAATGATGAACTCCTTTAACTTGAGCTTATCTGAGAAGCACTTGGTCTGCCCTTCCATTCTAAATGATAGCTTTGCTGGATAGAGTCATCTTGGATGTAGGTCCTTACCTTTCATGACTTCAAATACTTCTTTCCAGCTCCTTCTTGCCTGCAAAGTTTTTTTGAGAAATCAGTTGATAGTCTATGGGAACTCCTTTGTAGGCAACTGTCTGCTTTTCTCTTGCTCCTTTTAAGATTCTCTTCTTATGTTTTATCTTTGGTTATGTAATTATGATGTGCCTAGTTGTGTTCCTCCATGGGTCCAATTTCTTTGTGACTCTCTGAGCTTCCTGGACTTCCTGAAAGTCTATTTCCTTTGCCAGATTGGGGAAGTTCTCCTTCATTATTTGTTCAAATAAGTTTTCAATTTCTCACTCTTCCTGTTCTTCTTCTGGTACCCCTATGATTCAGATGTTGGAGTGCTTAAATTTATCTCAGAGGTTTCTAAGCCTTTCCTCATATTTTTGAATTCTTGTTTCTTCACTGTGTTCTGGTTGGATGTTTATTTCTTCCTTTTGTTCCGAATAATTGATTTGAGTCCTGGTTTCTTTCTCTTCACTGTTGGTTCCCTATATATTTTTCTTTATTTCACTTCTATAGCCTTCATTTCTTCCTTCATTTTGTGACTAAACACAATAATTTCTCTGAGCATCCTGATTACCAGTGTTTTGAACTCTGCATCTGACTGTTCGTCTATCTCCTGGTGCCTTAGTTTTTTTTCTGGAAGTTTGATCTGTTCTC